ATGGTTCTATATAGAATCATGAACACTCGAACCCTTTTCATGATTAAAGAGCTCTTTTTTTTATCATTTGAGAAATGTCGTTCTGCCTTTTCTCTCTCAGAGCGACGCAGAGAAACTTGTTCATGCATTTGTTCCAGCAGAGTTGATCACTGTAATGATCTTCTTACTGGACTTCGTAAGAAAACAATACATCCTTTACAACTCGTACAAAATGCATCAGCATCCTAACAAAAACTAAACAGAGAGATCAGATCACTCCTGTTTTAAAAGAACTACACTGGCTGTCTGTATCACTCAGGATAGATCTTAAAGTTCTGCTACTAGTTTTTAAGGCTCTGAATGACCTTAAAGCACCGCTTACATCACAGAGTGTCTGTTTATGATCTTAGATCTGCAGATACTGACCTTCTACAAACACCTTCTGTAAAATACAGAAAACATTGAGAGACTCTTTCAGTTATTCTGCTTCTAAACTGTGGAGCTCAGTTCACCTTTTATTAGACAGTCAATCTCAGAGCTCACTTTTAAGAAGCATCTAAATATGTATCTCCTTAACTCAGCATTTAATTAAAACTCTATGTCTTGTGGTTTTTATCTTTTAATTTGATCAGTTTCATTTTCTTCTGATTCTAAATAAACACTTATGATTTCTTGTATAACTATGTTTTATCACCTGTCTGTAAAGCCCTTTAAGCTGCCTCCGGCATGAAAAGTGCTATATAAATAAACATTATTATTATTACTATTACTATTATTATTATTATTATTATTTTCAGAATTGTAAAAGCAATCTTCAAATTGATGGAAATGTGTTGTATATGGTTTTGCACAGAACCTTTTTGAAAAGAGTTCTATATAGCACCAAAAATGGTTCTTCTATTATTATGATGTCAAGAAACACTCTTTAATGGGCTATATAGAACCTTTTTTAGAGAATCCTTTGCATGACTAAAGGGTTCTTTGCATCATGAAAGGGTTCTTCAGATTGACGGAGGATGTGCTGTATATTTGAAAAAGGTTCTGTATAGCACCTTAAACGGTTCTTCTATTGTTACAAGCTTGACATCATAATAATGGAAGAACCCTTTTTGGTGCTAGATAGAACCATATACAAAACATTCTCCATCAACCTGAAGAACCATTTCACCATGCAAAGAACCATTCAAGCATGAAGTGGTTCTATATAGAACTCATAGTCTGCAGCATGTAATGCCTCTGAAACAGGGGTGACCATATGGAAAAAAAAATATATGCGCATGTATTTTGGTGGATTTCAAATACATTTTAAAAATATTGCAATCCATGGAAAAATATATTCCAAACACTAAAATGTATTTCAGAATATGTTGCCATATTAACCAAATATATTTTAAAATACATTTTTTAAATGTATGGGGAAATATTACACATAGAAATGTACCATACAAAAATAAATGTATGTAAATGTATGTATCAAATATATTTGAAAATGAATGAAAACAGACAAAATCCTGTCTTCTGCACTTCACTGTTGAATCCCTTCTGAAATGAATTTGTATTCCGGTATCTTAATTTTAAATATGATCAAATGAACCTTTAACAAAACAAAAGAGAGTGTTGTAGGTATTGATACTCTGTGAAAGTGCAGTTATGATTTTATATCTTGTTTATCTGAAATGCATTGTGTGTGAGTGTCTTACTGCAGACGTACATGGTTAATGCAAAGTTCCATTCATTCAGTTCATGCATAATAACAAATACAAATAAATTTGACGTTTTTAATACGTTTTTGGCCATTTTCATAAATTGCAAAAATATATTTGATAAATAGTTTTGGAATATATTTTTCCATATGGGTGCCCAAACTTTTTGTCTTGGGGGTCAAAGTACAGTGATTGTGATGGGACAAAAAGACAAAAATAGTAATGAAGAAGGTGGTACATGTTTCTATATAAAACCTTCCTGAAAATGGTTCTATAACACCAAAAGTTCTATATAGAACGATATACAACAGATTCTCTATCAATCTGAAGAACCACTTTACCATGCACTGAACCTTTTAAGCATGCGAGTGGTTCTCTGAGCGTTCATGTTATGTTTTTGAATTTAATAAATAGGTCCGAACAAATAAATCAAGGACCATTTTATGTATTATTTAAATTGGTCTCATAATGCGTGCAGTACAGGGTTAAGCATGCAAATGGTTCTTTCAGTGTGGCTCTACAAGAACTCACTGTCTTTATTAAGGAACCCTTGAAGAACCATCTTTTTTCTATACTCCCCTATACTATATTCCTGCAGAACAGGAGGCAGCAGTTTCAGGACCGCAATTCCAGGACCATATGTTTTTCCTTCCTGTCTACCTAACTACTTACAGTTTTAAAGGCTTTTTCCGCCTGAATACTACAACTTTATCTAACTTACAGTTTTAGAGGCTTATTCCACCCAAATACTACTATTTTACCTAACTTACAGTTTTAGAGGCTTATTCCACCCAAATACTACTATTTTATCTAACTTACAGTTTTAGAGGCTTATTCCACCTAAATACTACTATTTTATCTAACTTACAGTTTTAGAGGCTTATTCCACCCAAATACTACTATTTTATCTAACTTACAGTTTTAGAGGCTTATTCCACCTAAATACTACTATTTTATCTAACTTAAAAATACTACTATTTTATCTAACTTACAGTTTTGGAGGCTTATTCCATCCAAACACTTTCTCAGAATTAAACTTGTTTACTAAGAGTTGCATTTTGTGTAATTGTGTAAAAATAAAGATACAATCAATTGCACATATTGCTTTTACAGTCACTAAATCTCAACCGGATATTTGAGACACAAGAAAGGCTTTGGTGCCATAATATTTATTTAATATATCAACAATAACAACCAACAAGATTCCACAAGTAATATATACATTTAAACATTTAAAACTGGGATGCTTTCTCTTTCCCACGTGTTAAATGCGGTCCTTATATCCACTTCGCTAGGGAGCAGTGTCGCGAAAACATGCGGTCCTGGAACTGCTGCCTCCTGTTCTGCAGTCAGACCCTACTCTCCTCTTTTTTCGAGCGTAGCCAATCCTCCTAAGCGGCCAGGGCGCTGTGCTCCCGCAGCCCTAAACAGGCCTTGATCTCTCCGCGGAAGAAGCGCAGACTCCGCCCACGATACGGGTGCCGCAGTAAAATTGGGCGCGCGTGCGTATTGACATTCCTTTTTTTCTTGGAAGTAAGTGCCGTGCGGCGCGTGCCTTTCTCTCACGCAGAAAAAGGGAAATTTTCTGTAGTATAGCCGCTCGTTGACTCTTACCGAGCACGTTCGTGAGCCGGACCGGGCTGATAGAGCCGCCTGCTGTGTCGGACGATGATAACTGAGCTTCTGTTTCTCTAAAAAAGAGTCTGTAAGACTGAGCTTGAGTAACTAGGAGTTAGCTTGTTAGCTAGCGGGCTAGCCAGCTCGTTGCACGAGGCCTTCCGCGCCGTGACTGGTCACGTTCCCAGGCGCGCGAGCAGTGAGCATGTCGTTACCGTGCTGAGACTAACTTGATTTCATTCATATTTAAGGCGCTGTGGTTGTTTTCAAACCCAGAAACACGGTTAAGGGAGCAGGGAGTTGTTCCAGCAGTGGGGCTAGCGCTAGCCGCTAACGTTAACTGCTTAGCAAACCACGTTGAAGTAACGTTAACGTTAGCCTTAGCTAGCATATGTGTCCACTTGCGCTGTTTTTCGAGCGGTATCGTATCGTTGTGGATGTCGTTGTGGGGTTAAAGTAGCTGAATGGGTTCCTTTTCTGCCGCTCTAACAAAACCCTTTTCCTTTGCCGAGGCTGGAGTTGGCTTCTTGTTCCAACTCTCCGGTCCACCTTAAATGTGCGGCGGTTACGTTCTGGCGGCCGAGGCGCCGGAATGAAACTGCCGTACGTTTAAGGTGGAACGGAGAATTCGAATAGGAAGCCAACTTCAGCCTCGTTTTCCAGCAGAGTTAGCCGGCTAGGTGGGTAGCTAACGTTAACCGAGAAGTGCTCCTGAGTTAGCGAGTCACATCTGGCCTTGCGTGTTCATTGTACTGTTAAAAAGTTTTCTCGCCGTTCCCGGTGAGGTACTCCGCTCTCTTAACGTCCGGAATCGTTAAGAGTCGTTAATTCAGCTTTTTAAAGAGCCGTTAGGACTCGTGTGCTTTTTGTCTGCTTCTGTTTTTTTGTCTTATTAAAGCAGCGCCCGGCCTTTGGGCGTGAAACCAGAGCACCATGATGCGGCAGGTTAGCGAGCGCATGATCTCTGCTCCCGGTTTTCACTTCTCGTTTAAAAAGTTGTTGTACGGTTGTGCGACCGCTTTCAGATGCCTGCGAACCGTTATTTAGACCACTTAAGTGGATTTCGGGAGCGCTAATTTGCCCCGACCGCATGAAACAGATGACGTAGCCGGTTAAAAAGTTGGCCACGGTTGTGTGGGGCAGTGTTGGAGGCACCACACCCGGAGTCTGTGATCGCTTCAAGAAACAACTCGTAAACAAGTTTTAGTTTTGTTTAATTGGTTTTAAAAAGTTAATAGACACCTGCTTATCCAGTGTTTTAATAGGGAATCTGCCCCCCATTTGCTGCAGTAGCAGCTTCCACTCTTTTGGAAAGGCTTAACGTTAGATGTTGGAACATTGCTGTGAGGATTTGATTGCATTCAGGTCAGGTACAGATGTTCTGGATCACTCATCTCCTCAGAGGTACTGGATGGAGCTCAGTCACTCCAGAGAATGCAGTTCCATTGCTCAACAGCCCAGTGCTGGGGGGCTTTGTAACTCTCTAGCCAGTGCTTGGGATTGAGTATGATGACCGTAGGCTCATGTGTGGCTGCTCTCGTTCTTTTGGCAGTGCTTTATTATGGGTATTATACAAGCTGAACAATTGAACACCTGTCCACACCTGGGTGTGCCTCTTAAAGTAGCCCATACATTCTTTTGTTGGAGTGTCTAAGCTTTTTTTGGCTGTTTCTTGCTTTTTTGGTTTTAATGAATAAAACTTAATTTTTTTCCATCTTGTCTTTGCAGTGCCCCTTGAATAGACCCCATCATGGCAGATCCAGATCTTGATTTCACTAGTGGAGATGCTGGGGCCTCTGAGACCTACCCACAGCAGTGCAGTGCCCTGCGCAAAAACGGATTTGTGGTCCTGAAAGGTCGTCCCTGCAAAATCGTTGAAATGTCCACTTCAAAAACTGGGAAGCACGGTCATGCTAAGGTGACTATTCTCATCTGACTCATTTAGACCACCCACAGTTATTTTAAGTACATGCTTTCTTTCCATTTTTGTGTACTTAGGGTAAATTGCTTGCCCTTGTTTTCTGTAGGTTCACCTGGTCGGTATCGACATTTTCACTAATAAGAAGTATGAAGATATTTGCCCCTCTACCCACAACATGGATGTTCCCAACATAAAGAGAAATGATTACCAGGTAAGCAACATGTTGCAGTCCCAAACATCCATTGTTTGGACTCTTGTGACTGTTTTTAAGACAAGGTGTTACCCTGGGCAGAGTCAGGCCCAGAGTACTGCCCTGTGCTGGCAGTAACCTCTGAATAGTGCTGCGCATTTGCTTTTTCGTTTTTGCTGAACATGTAAAATGTCAGAGTTGTTGGCGTATCTCCTCTTGTTGAGATCGATCGACATAGCTAAATGCTGTCTCGCGTCTTCGGTTACAAGACCTACCTAGTTTTATAAAAATGTAGATTAAACTTGTATACCTACAACACAAGGTGCAACACTCATGTTTAGGTTGTTTCATTCACACCTGCAGTGATTTATTGATTGAACAGGGTTCATGGGGTTTCAATAGCAGATGATATTAATGGGCCTCATTCACCAACCATTCTTAAGAATTAATTTCTTCTTAAAACCCACTTATGCAGTTTTTACAAAGATTCTGGCAGTTACCAGTGTTTTCTTATTTGGAAATTGTTTTCAGGTGAGAACAGAATCTACACACATTCAGCAGCACAAAGGTGCAGTTCTGCAGTTTAAGACCATGTCAATCTGACAGGCTGCTTCTTAGGACCTTTTTCAAGAACAGATTTAAGAAAAACTTAAGATATTGGTCAGTGAGGCCCTCTGTCTTCCTAGAACTGTTGAAGTGTTAACAGAACTTGAGGTGCAGTTTGGTTATATAATATACAAGATCATGGCGCCTGTTCCCACTTTTAGATTTAAGTTGTCATCATAAAATAATGTAAAATGAGCGCACACGAGTCTGACCTACAAAAAAAATGCATGTTTCTTACATTAGCTAAGGTGATACTGGAGTTAATAGTTATTTCACAGTGTGATCTTGTAACAAGCTGCATAGCCAGCAGTTGCTCGGTGGTACATTGTACAAATAGGTATATAGTCGCGTTCATGAAGATTCTGAAGCATAACCTTTGTGGGTTTTGCATTCAGTGTCATTTGCAGTAGTTCCAGATGTGGGAAAATGGTGCTTATTAGAGTTAGCTGTGCTGTAATTCTTGCACATAGTGTAACTCTATTCTCTTTAACTTGCTTAAGTATGCTTTACATCAAGACTAGTGTTGCAGTTAGAGCACAGATTTCTATAGTTTTCTAAACTTGTAGAATGAACTTTGTCTGTGACTGAATATGGTTTTGTAGCTTATTTGAAATTGCTGTGGGGCAGAATAATAAGACTGCTTTGACAGGTTTTAGACCTTTATAGCTCTGTTATGAACACATAATTGAGCTTCTGCTTCCATGTTAAATAGTCAGTTTTTCCCAGTTTCTGTATTAGACATGTTGGATGATGAACTCTTGGCTCTTTTCTCTCTCAGCTGGTCGACATCAACGAAGGGTTTCTTTCCCTTATGCTGGACAACGGTGACGTGCGTGAGGACCTTCGTGTTCCAGATGGTGACTTGGGCAAGGAAATCGAATCCAAACATGGAGCTGGTGAAGATATGATGGTTAGTACCTTTTTTAGTCTTTATTTATTTAAATTTGTCCTTGGTTTAAGTTAAACTTGGTTTATGAACACTGTTCTGTTGCCTTTTTTGCTGATGCATATGATTTATCTTGGTTTAAAATTGGAATGATATTCTTCTTCGGCCAGCTTTTTCCCTTCCGTTGTTTGACTTATGTAACTCCATTCTCCTTGTTCCCTAGATTACTGTGCTCTCAGCTATGGGGGAAGAGTCTGCAGTGGGCATCAAGGCCTTTACCAAATAGGAAGAGAGACTGGGCTGCTCAGGCTGCAACATGCACCACCTTAACAAATCTCCTGCTTTTTGGTTTTTTGTTTTGTCACCAAAGCTATGGCCTTCACAAGCAACCTCAGTTTTTGTTGCGATTGTACTCCCATTTTTCTTCTCCTTCCAATACTGTGCTGGACTTTTAACAACTTAATCTTGTTAGGTTGTTTTTGGCATTCTCTCGGATCATAGTTTTTGTTTTATTCTTTTAGGGTTTTTTCATTCCACTTTATTTTGCCTTTAAGATGTTGGTCTGGCCACTTACATTCCTAAATGTTAAACAATGGGATCCACTTTTGTCTCTTTTTATATACATATATTACATGAATAGCGTGCAGAACTTATGCCTTTTGGGGGAATATGCATATGAGTTTTAAAGAAGGGGATGGCCCTAACTGACACTTGCCTTTTTTTTTCCCTGCCCCCTCCCCTTATTCTTCCCCTTATCCACCCCCTATTCCCCCCTGCCCCACCCTTTACAGGTGCCATACCTTTTGCCTAACATGGTCATTTCTCTTGATTGAATGCCTTTTCCCAAAGTGAGATGTGTACTGGTAGTTAGCACTTTGTAGTACTTGCAGTACTTTGAGTACTACCGGAAACATTTCAGTTTTTTTTCCTTTTTAAGTAAAATCACTAAGAAACCAACTTCAGTGAAATTTCTAAATGCCAGTCTCCATTGTATAGAAGTGGAAAGAAGAATGTGATGGCCATGTGCGATTACCTCTGTAACGCAATAGCAGCCAGCCTGATTTTGGCTGTCATTGACAACCTTAAATAAAGTGTTGAAGCCTGTATTTGTCTCCAGTAGAAAGGTGTTTATGGATGCTTTACCAGCATTTTGCAGGTTGGTTCTTCTGATGGACCCAATTTTTGCTATGGTGTGTTGGTAGAAAGCTTTTCTTTTTTCCTTTTTGTTCACTCGAGGCCTTTGTCACCATGCTGGAGATGGCAAAAAAATAAAGTTAAACGAAATAGATTTCAGCTGAAGGATTTATTTGGAATATTCTTGGTAACTTTGGATGAACCAGATTTACAAATTGGGGTGTTCAGAGGGTGCCTTTTAATATATAGTTACCATATTTATATTTAATTTTGTTCTTTTGTTCTCTACCAATGAATCTAGTTTTCCAGTAGAGTTGGCACCATGCTGACGAAGGTGGTATTTGGACTGATTGAATCTTAATCTGCCCCTTAAAGGGGTTTAAACCAGAAATGTCAGGGAAAACTTGCAATAGTGCTGTTGAGATTTTTTATTTATTTTTTTTAACCCTTAATGTATAGAAGTCAAAGTGGGATACATCTGATTTCACAACAGTGGGTTGTGGGTATAATACAGGGCAGAATTCCTGTTTGGGTGTCTATTGGACAGTGCAACCCAGTGTACAGGTCAAACCTGTTAGTCATACCTTCCTTTGCACTTGTCTGGCCTGACGCCCAGAATGCACTGTGGCAATGGATGTCCAATACTGCAGCAGCCAATCAGTCTGGGAAAATGGAGAGCTCAAACTTTAATATGTGTCCAGTGTTAAGCTTTGAACATATTTTTTTTTTCCTGATTAATGTTTTTAAGATGAACACTGGTTATTTGGATGAACTCACTAAAGACTGATTTGACTTATCTCTTGTAAAAATTACCGTATGACAAATTATCATAACTTTTTCACAGTTTGCTGCTTGGAATGAGCGAGTGTGAGCTGGGATAAGGCCTGCGTTAGACACTCATCAGGAACTAGCCAAGCCAGGCTGGGTTTGTATGGGCTCCACCCTGCGCTGCCTTGGTTAGCTCATACACTTCTGAAAAGATGAGTCATGTTGCCCTCATGGTCATGTGCCAAGTCAATTCGGAGTGTATAGTTACAGATTATAGCTCACACATTATGTTCCTGTGTTTATGCTTGAAATTGTGTTTCCATGGATGTAAACAGCCCTTACTCAGAGGAAACCTTTAAGTCATCATTTATGCAGAATGACCAAAGACAAATGCAAGCTCCTTATGAAGGGCTTCAATTGACCAAGACTGTACTGCTGCCTTAGAATAGATAGTGTTACTGCTGAAGCAACCCAGAGTAATCCATTACATATTACTGTCGTGTGGCTTAAATGCAAGACACTGTGTGAGACGCTGAACATCCTGTTGCGTAAGTATTATGTGGCTTTGTGAAATTAGAAATTAGATAGTTCTTCAACAGGGTAAGAAGTATTCCATCACAAGCTTTTATATATGTATGTGTATGTGTGTGTATATATATATATATATATATATATACACCGATCAGGCATAACATTATGACCATTATGACCATTGTTTCTATGCTCACTGTCCATTTTATCAGCTCCACTTACTATATAGGTGCGCTTTGTAGTTCTACAGTTACAGACTGTAGTCCATCTGTTTCTCTGCATACTTTGTTAGCCCCCTTTTACCCTGTTCTTCAGTGGTCAGGACCCCCATGGACCCTCACAGAGCAGTACTATTTGGGTGGTGGTCATCTCGCACTGCTGTAACACTGACGTGGTGCTGGTGTGTTAGTGTGTGTTGCGCTGGTACAAGTGGATCAGACGCAGCACTCCTCATGAAATTTACACAGAATGGAAAGGCCAACAGGCATTTTCAAGTTATGTTAAAAACTGAAAAACAAATGGACATACAGGGTTTTCTTTAGACAACAGTGATATATATATTATATATATATTTGTTGTCTTATGCAGCATTCTGCAGTGCAGCATCAAATCCCTCAGCTTCATCGGTTTAGAACAGAGCTCCTTTAGTACAGTAATCCTGTTGTTTTCCTTCATCAGTGTTCTCTCACTACATTACCCACCATGCATTATGGCAATACATCATACAAACACTGGGAATCCCTGTGGTGTCAACCAATCTGTAGCTTAATAAATATAACGTCTTGGTCGTTGAACAAAATCGGTGATGTGCAGAAGGAGGACCTTCGTGTCCCAGATGCTGATTTGGGCAAGAAAACCAAAAACCGCGAAGAAAACCAGGATTCTGTCTTTACTCAGCACAAACTGGATGCGAGAGAGAAGTTTTCACCCTTTCAGCCACAGAAAAGAAGCCAAACCAAAGTTTCTAGTTAGCTGCCTTGTTACCTTCAATCAGCCTGCTCTCAAAAGCAGTTGTAGTTTTTCAGAATTTTCCTCCTGCCTTCAACATACATCACCAGAAGGGGGAATTTCTAGTCTTTAAAGGGGAAAATCTCACTCCAGAGCAGGGGTGTCAAACTCAACCACTAAAAAAGGCTATATTAAAAAATTTCAACCAATCCATGGGCCGAAGAACATCTGTGTTTTCATTTCATTTTTTATCAACAGTTTGCTATGACCTGAACACTGGCCATTGTTTATTCAAAATATGACAAAACTGCAACAGCAAAATATTGGCACTTGTGGTACACCTTCAAATATTACATGAATACTTATACGATTGAAAAATAATTTAAAAATAAAAACACATTGTTTTCCATGAAAACATCAGGCTATATTAGCTACAGACTGTTGAACTTCTTTAAATGTCCTCAGGAGGGAGGTTTATTAAAAATGGTGGAGGGGTGCACAATATGCAGCATTGCAGCAGCATGCTGGGGATTGTAGTGCAGCTAATTGTGGAAACGACTAATATTAATTTAAGTGATTAAAATAATTTAGAGGCCCAGGGAGGATGGTGCCATGGGCCTGACTTGGCCCGCGGGCCTTGTGCTTGACACATGGGCTCTAGAGACTATTTGCAGCACCACAGGATTTGTTGGACAGATATGTTTACAACAGGTGTAAAAGTACAAAGTAGAAGTACAAAAGTAGCAGCTAAAAAAAGCTACTCAATAACGTACAGAACTGAAACTTGTTTTAAAAAATCCATCAGCATAGCAGTTTACATTTGTTAGGTGCTATTTTTCTCTATTTGGCATTCTTTTTAGCGTGCATGTGGATTTTTTTTTTCATGTGATGTGGATGAAAAAATCTGATAAATCTGAAAAAAGAGTTTTCTTTGGGGACTGTTTTGCTTTAGAACATCCTTCATGTATCCCTCCACCATGAATGGATTAAAATAAATTGATTAAAATGCATTTTAGGCCAAAACTTTATCACAAAACTACCATAAAACAATGTCTCAGGCGTCAGGCTGAGTATTAATAACCATTCTGTGTAATAACTTTCTGTGAGGGAGCTTTTAGACGTGGACGTCTGGTTCCTATCACCACCACTGTGAACAATTCTGACTCAGTAAGTTTCTCTACAACAGGGCATTTCACACCAAACCACTCTGAATGACTGTTTTTTCATCTTAGCTATTAAATTATATAGAATTTTTGAAAAATTTGGTGGAGTTCCTACAGAGCCCCTAAGGGGCCGTGGTTAAAAAAAAAAAATGTTGCGTTCCCTCGCAAATGTTTTGCGTTCCCTCGCAAATAAAATGCGTTCCCTCGCAAATGTTTTGCAATACGATGCAAACGGTTTGCAGTCGCTTGCAAAAGCTGTGCTTTGCTTAAGCTCAGCGATGGAGCAGCTCATTGCATTTTACGTTGATCTTGGACTGAAATATAGTGTCGCTTCTCAAATCAACATGATTATAATGTTAGTGAGCACAACCTGAAACTGAGGTCGAGTGTCCTCGTACAGTAAAAGCTACATTTACAGACACTGCAGAGAACAACTGCTGAATAAACTCAGCGCAGACCGGCGAAGCTGGGAAAACAGCTTTTAACGTTAAATATGCTAAAAACAAAGCTCTAATGTAATGTGTTTTGCGAGGGAATGGAAAACATTTGCGAGGGAACGCATTTTTTTGCGAGGGAATGTAAAACATTTGCGAGGGAATGTAAAACATTTGCGAGGGAACTCATTTTTTGCGAGGGAATGTAAAACATTTGCGAGGGAACGCATTTTTTTGCGAGGGAATGTAAAACATCTGTGAGGGAACGCATTTTTTTTTGCGAGGGAATGCAATGTCATTAACTTTTTTTTAACCACGGCCCTTAGGGGCTCCGTAAGTTCCCCTTTACAGTTAAGAGAAATTAATTTTCCTGAGTAATTATCCTCAGTGACTCAACAAAAGTGAACAAAACTCATACTAATAAAAGGCTGTATAGTTTTTGGGACGGCTACGGCTTCATTGTGAGAGAAAATTCGCTGTAGCCAACACACATTACAGCTGCACCCGAATATTAGAGTTTAAATGACCAATAAATATGAAAAAATAACTCTAAAAAATAACTACATTTTTTCTGACGACTCTCTGCGGCGTCAAAACCGCGTGCGCGATGACGCCACTTCCTTTTTCGACTCGTCCTCTTCAGCATGGCGCCGGTGCGTATGAGTTCCGATCCCGGTTTCTCAAATAACAGCGGTTTAGCGCGTTTTCGGGGTCTGATATTACAGTGTAGTGAGACGGGGACAGTGTTCGGTACTGTGTTTTACTGTGGGGTGGATATTGTCGTTATAATACCTTACATTTAGCGTATCTGCCACGTGGAGTGAATGGACACGTGTGGTTAGCAGCAGCTGTGCTAAACTAACCTAACCTACCGGGTCTGAAGGCGGTACCGCACATTGTTCGAAATAAAGGTTCTGAACGGGTATAAGTTTTCTTTCAATGAGGTACAAACAATGTAAATGTTCCCTCAAAGGTGCAGCGGGAATCTTTAGAGCCGACTGTGTACCTTAACTATGGGTTTCTCCTTTCATAACCTGATGTTCTACAGCAGAGCAGTGTAGTGAGGAGGCTGGGGTCAGGACAGGGAATGTGGAGTCAATACAGCTTCAAAATATAATTTAAACGGATTATGGTACAACTACTTATGTTCTCTAACTAAAGGGTGAGCTATAGACGTACTCGTGAAGGCAAAGTACCACCCCAGTGACAGTGTAGTGCATATCGCTGCTGTCAGAGCAAAACCTTGTATCTCCATTTTTTTGCCATTTTTCAGTTTTTGAGGTAATTTAAAAACGTTTGTTGTCCTTTACACTGTGAGTAAATTTCATGATGAATGGACCAAAAGAAACGGCCCAGAATGACTTGGGGAAAAAAGTCTGCTTCCATTGACTTACATTAAAAGTAAAGTAAGTTTTTGCCTTCTCCTGTAAAGTTATAATTTTGGAGATATGAAGTTTTGTTCTGAAAGTAGCGATATGTATAGTTACCACACATAAAACTACAGGTAGTATATTTTGATGGCCCAAATCACTATCAGAATGTGCTACCAGCAGTAAAACTGTATTTAGGATGGTTTGCTGGCCCAACTCATCAAAAAATGCTACCAGCATTGAAATGTATTGATGGCCTAAATTAGCAAATGTTACCAGCATTAAAAGTAGGATCACCTAATAACCTTATCAGGGACTGAGTAGTAATGTTGAGTGTGTATAGTAGACTTGAGGAAAAGTCTGAATTAACATTAAAAACACAAGTTAACACGCTGTAGGAATGGTGTGCACATGATTGGTAGGACAAGTTATTGGAACAGCTTTTTTGTCTAAATGTTTATAGGTAGATCTCTACACAAACTGTAGATGAGATGGTTTGGTAGCCTAAATCACTATCAGAAAATGCTATTTTCAGTAAAAGTGTACATACTGGAAATTTTGATGGCCTAAATCACCTGCATTAAAAGAATAAGTTGGCTATTTTTATAGCCTAAAACTCGTTATGGGGGGCCGAGTAGCATTACTAAGCTGAGTCAGTACAGTAGACTTGAGCTAAGGCTGAATTAACACTACAAACATGGGAAACTGTAGGAACTACAGGAATATTGAAAATGAAGAGTTTGATTCCCAAATGCTGTAAATCCATTTTGTAACAATTTTTGAAATAGCGGGTTCTTAAAGAATATCAGCTGATGAAATATGGAAAGTATGTTTTTATTTCTCTAATAAAGATGATGTTAGTCATAATGCAGTGCTGATATTTCTTGTACATGTAAAGCCTACTCCCAAAAAATCTTGAAAGTGGTAATAAATATATATATTTTGGAGCGAAACCCTTCATATGTAGATTATTATAGAAGTATTATACACCACTATTAGAAATATTGTAGTTTCTTATAATTTTTTTTTTTTAATTGCTGAGGGTGGCATTCAGTGTTGGTGTATTGTAAGTTCATAATATTATAATATAGGCATTTCCACTAGTATTTTTGCGCTTCTTTAATGCTAAAATACAAGAGATTCACTGCATTTATAGAAATCAGGCCCTTGGAAATTTTAATGCAAAGGCACAGGGAGAACTGTCTTAGAATTCGGGGCAAAATCATGTATTAATTTGCAAATATTTTAAAAGATTAACTTTATGTAGGGTATTACTGTGAAGTGAAATAATACGGTGCTACCAAGAAACTGTGCTTGAAAGACATTGTTCAGTGGTTAACCCTCACATACTCTCAAATAACTGGGCATCGTGGTGCCACTGAGCACTTTTTTGGCTCAAAGCAATAGAAAATAGTTTTTGTTATTAGAAAAAAAAAATATCCAGTTCTTTTCCCACGAAGCTTGGTGGTATTTCTGGTACGCTGCTTTCAGGATATGACAGTTTTGTGTGATGTGGTTTTGACCGATTGTCTGGTTACAACAATATAATAATATGCCCCATAGTTATGAGTAGCATCAACTGTCCTGCTCAAACTTGTACCACCACAATCATTGGTCCATATATTGATGTACGTGGTTTACACAAAAGGCTTGTAAACCAGCTAGGAAATCTGGTATCGTGTTATTATGTAGTTAATTTCAGTGTAAAGAGTTTTGAGAAACTTGGCTGTTTGTCATTGGTTGAAACTATTTCCTTTCTTTTTTCAGAAAAGACAGATTGTGGTGAAAAAAAAGAACAAAAAGGGAGCTTCCTGGAAGTTCACCCTGGACTGCACTCACCCTGTGGAGGATGGAATCCTAGACTCTGCAAACTTTGTAAGTCTGGTAATTGTTTGAGTTTTAAGCATCGACACCTTTTTATATTATAATGAGTGCTGTGATGAGGCACTAATGCTGTGTCTTAACTAGGGTACCCTTCCCTAGTTTAATGCCTAGGGCTCTCTTCCCTAGTGTGGTCATGTTGTTTTGTCACTAACAGGAGACATTTCTGAGAGAAAAGGTGAAGGTTAATGGCAAAACAGGCAATCTGGGCAATGTAGTCCAGATCGCTCGCCAAAAGAACAAGATCAGCGTCACATCAGAAAAGCAGTTCTCCAAGAGGTGAGACAACAGACACTGCTGACGTTTTTGCTTTTGTGAAAATGTGGCTTTTTTGTCTTCATTGCACCTTTTAAACATTTGTTTAGCTGACATTAAAAGCTTATAATCCTCAGTTTACAAGAGAGTCATGGATGGCAGGGATCTCATAATTTCCAGAATGTTTTTAAACATAATCTTGTGCTACTTTTTGTCCTGTTGACAGTTTTCAGGATTTGTGTTTGTGCTTTGAAAGTGACCATTGTCTGTTCTTCAGGTATCTGAAGTATCTCACAAAGAAATACCTGAAAAAGAACAATCTTCGGGACTGGCTGAGGGTGGTGGCCTCTGACAAGGAGAGTTATGAGCTGCGTTACTTCCAGATCAGTCAAGATGATGAGTCCGAGACTGAAGAATGAAGCTTTAGTTGTGAAGAGGATGATGGTGTATTGAAGTCCTGTACAAATAGTCACATCTTTTGTATGCAGTTTGATTGTTTGTAAATAAATGGACGGATATACACAAAAATGGAAAATGGTGTACTTGTTCTTTTGTCCATTTTCTAAAACGGGTGCCCAATCCTGGTTCGGGAGATCTACCACCCTGCAGAATTTAGCTCAAACCCTAATCTAACTCACTTGATCCAGGTAATCAAGGCCTTCAGGGGCATCTGACTATATGAGTCAGGTGTGTTGGATCTGAACTCTCCAGGGTGGTAGATCTCCAGGCCCAGGATTGAGCACCTCTTTTCTAAAGTCAGTTTTAATGTCTACATTTAAATATTTCACTTTGGTGCAACTTTTAACTTGCACTACTTTGCACTATGTTGAGATATGTTGTCTCATTATTAGTACACATTAAAAAAGGGGTACTTAAAGGGGTTTTTAGCAAAGACAATGGTTATATAGAGCCATGACAATTCAAAGAACCATTTGAATGATTAAGGCTTTTATAATGGTTCTTCAGGAACCTTTTCACAAATGGTTCTGTGTTACACCTAGAAGTTCTGCTATTATTAAGTGGTACTATATACAACCATCTTGCTAACAGTATAATAAAGGATTGCAGTGTGAAGTTAAATTTAAGCTTTGTTAGATGACAAAGTATTTTTAGAGGAGATTAGAAGTCAGACTGCTTCACTGAAAGGACTTTCTTGGCAGGGGAACAGTGACTGGTTATCTAGCAAAGTCAAACTGTTAGGTAATGTTTTTGCTGCTGACTCTGTGAAACTTTGCCCTCATGAAACGGTGCCAACAGAAATGTGGACATCAGAAACACTGACTTAAAAACTGTTCAGTTTGAGTTTCACATGAAGAGCATCATTCATACACTTCAAAGATGATTAATGTAATTTTATCTGCTTCAAAGATAACCAAGATCACTGAACAAAGGAATTAAAAGAAAGCTCCAGATCTAATAGTTGTCCCTTCTTGTCGCAGAGATACTACATAACATTCTTTAGTTTGCTGACTACTGGGTTGCAGATCCTGATGACCTAAAACATTAACGTGTGGCAAACAGCTTGAAATTTTGTTGCACAAGTTGAGTCTTGTCCTTAAAAATGTTTACAGTTGGATTTGCAGAGTTGTTCTCAGTGCTACCATTTCAGTAAATAGCACTTGATCTTGTAGACAACAAAGCGTCTCATGGTGTGAAACTGATCAATTATTAGGTGTTAACTTCGGTTGTGAGGAACATTCACAAAGATTTTTAGAGCTCTCATCTCATCATGGTCATCACATGATAAGGTTAAAGGTCTCTAAAAGAAATCCCATCAACAATTTCAGCAGCTCAGCACTTGAATGAGAGTGGGATTGGTCTTCATTTACATGGACGGGGGACGGGCCATCTCACTATAAATACCCACTCCTGTCATTTCTGCAGCAGCCTAAAAACAGTAATCGTTTTGCTTTACAGCTCACCAGGTAACAGCCGGTTATGGAGATATTTACTGATGTCCAAGGTATGAGGAGAAAAACGCATTCGAGGGCGTTTCCGTGCAACTTTAGCTGGGCTCCTAGAGCTAGAAGTCTTGAGGGTCAGGCACAAAGAAATGGTGGAGGCAGCACTGGGGAAACGCGAAAGGCCCGACCATTCAGTCAACCCGGAGCTCCAACAAGGACAACATCGGTACTGGGTGGAGGAGAATTCCTTCAGGCTGAAGCTCAAGCGTAGTCTGTCACAAGAAAATGTCACTGAGACTGGAAAGACTAGGACCCTTTCAGACTTGAAAAGGGCTGGTGCCTGTCACTCATCGGAAGACCTACAACAGAGGTACTGTCCTGATCACAGGACAGTCCCTGAATTTGAGGACAGACGCTCAAGGGCTAGCTCTGGATTCTGTGGGAGTGACTTTGGGGGCATTTCAAGCTGTACTGGTGATGATGGCATGAGCTCTCTCTCCACTTCCCTGGCCTCTTTAAGTTATCGGAGTACTGTAAGCGATGCAGGGTACTGTGGACATGAAGACACCAAGCAGCGACGGCCCGTTTTACTGGAAAATAGAGAAGAGGTTGGGAGGACGAGCAGCACAGAGGGCTTGTGCCTTTTCAGAGGAGGTGATTCCCCAGGCTGGTTTTCTCTCTGTGGTCGACCTGTACCCTGATTCACACTGGCCTGATGTTTCTGACATACTGCAGCCTCAAATGGTCTTGGAACCTTCTTACCGGTCTGATCTCAAAAGTTGCCAGGGGTCAGAGGTCTATCGCTACCCGAGTCCACTACATGCTGTCGCCTTGCAAAGTCCTTTGTATGCCCCAAAGAGCCCTGCAACGTACAGGAAAAGGAGAGGGAGTTCTCCAGGAGGTTCTACACTGATCTCAAACCCCATGCCAAGACCAGATTGTGTTCCTATGCAGAGAGGTTGCTGCCATTCAGAATCTACCACCATGCGACAATCCAGCATATCTTTGCCTTGGTTGCAAACCAGTTGGACGGGCAAGCACGATCATTTGGAGAATTGCAGGTGTCTGGAGATCATTTTGAAGCGGGCACAAGGTCAACCCTGGAGCCACACCACAGCAAAGAACGATGAAGGTGTCCACTCATGGTCACGGAGAAGTATGGCCTCACTCCACCGGACTTGTTCGTTAGGCAAAAGCAGGGCTCCTGCATCTGAATCTGAGCCTGCAGGCTCCTCAGTGCCTGCCCGTGCAGGCTTTCGAGGGCACCTTGGCACACATAAAAACCGTCTTAGAAGACACACGGCTGCTTTGACCAACCTCTACATTTTTTGGGAAAGCAATGGCAAGTCTAGTGCTCCTCAATCGCCGCTGCAGTGTTAGAGCTTCAAAAGAAATGCCCTTTGTCGTGCACAGTTCTCTGAAGTTAGCATGACAGAAAAACAGAGAGGAAGGACGTTTTGCGGACCTTATGAGATTTTGTGTCAACAGAAAGAAGGTCTTGTTGTGTTCTTCAAGGTTCTTGTCAAAGTAGTACTGGTTTAATGTCACCGTGAAGACTGTGGCTGTGTATCAGGCCCAAAGTTTTACCCCAAGGTATAAAGACTTTTGCGAGAAACATGGTTTAGTAATTAAGAACACAGTTAAACAGAAATTATAACATATTTATTTGTGTCTTATTGCTTCTGTATTGTTTCTAATATCATGTAGTTTAGATTTGTTGTCACCTGAATGATTTTCAGTGATGCAGTATATGTTAAGTATATGTTATATGCTAAAGTACTGTTTTTTAGTATTTGTCTGTGCCATGACATAAATGTCTTTACAAACTTGTAATAAACAGCACATCACAAACATGCACGGCATCTAAAAGAAGAAATTGTGCATTTCACACAATTTTGCAAGGTCATTGTTTTAAGACATTTTAAGGCATCATGATGGATAATTAACATAGCCATTGTTTACCTATCAAAGTCAAATACAACTACAAATACATTCATTGTCCTTGATTTAATCACTCGGGAGGTAATTAAGGAGATAGTCATTCATACACTTTAAAGACAAAAATTGCTGTTTTAACAAAAGAGCTGTTTCGTATGAGTTGACATGAAACAGCTCTTTGAATTGTGGGTCCACAAGATGTCAGCAGAGATCCAAGCTGGTCATTTGAAGTAGGCCGAGATTTCAGGACACTCATAGTTCCAGAGTTACTGAAAACATTTAAAGGAAAAATAATAATGTTCCCCTGGGAAACACGTCAACATATTTTTTTCTCTCTTTTGAACATGTTTGGGGTTTTGCCAGGGTGTGCTGTACATTTTCACCGCTTCCAGGCCAAATATATTTTCACACTTGGAGCATACCACAGGCCAAGGCTCCGCTTTATCTGCAAAAAAAGTTTTTCCTTTTAAAGGAGATATGGGAGTACACAAGAGTGCTTAGGGGTTCGTTTTTGTTGGAGTGAAAGTTAGATATTCACACGTGTAGTAATCCCTCTCTTCCAGCTGATGAAGATAAAAAACAGCCTGGGGGATGCTGCTCGTTTCTCAGAAATATAAGCTGGAATAACAAAGAAACCATCTAGCAGGGGTTTTATGCCCCAGACCTCGTTCCAAAAGCCTGCAGTTGCGGCATGCTTAAATTCATGACTGATGGCGATTGAGGTTGGTGTTCGGGAGTCTAAATGGATTTAAGAGGCATACTGTCAAAGAAAATATGTAAATCTACATTAAACCGCAGCTATACCAACACTTCAGTCTCTCATAGCACATGTGATCAGTGGTTGTTTTCAATCACAAAGGAGTAAAAGTGGAACGTTCTGTTATTCAGATTCCACTGCCCTGGAAATTTATGGGTTCTACTGTGAGTAAATGTTTAAAGATTTTTTTTTCCTTCACAAGACATTAGAACTGTTTACAGTATCCCTTGATCCAGCTCAAAGGCTAATGTATCAAATACAACTGGGTCAGCGTAGCTGTGGGAGAAAACAGGGTTTACACTGTGTGAACTAAAGCAGTTAGAAAAGTGATGTTGTTCCACACGTCTGGTTTTTAGCCCCAGTGTTATGTCTACAGTAGTAGACTCTCTCTCACATCTTCTTTGTTTAGGTCCTAATATGCTAAGGTGATTAACATCAAAGCTTCCAATGCGTCTGCACTTGATTTATCCTTTTGAATTTTAGGTGTTGAACCACTTTTGACAGAGCTGAAGTAAATTACTGCTTACCTTTGCATAAACCTCAATTCCAGTGAAGTACAGATAAAAACAGAAAGTGTAAATCTACTTTGACCTGTATTTCAATGAAATCAGCACAAAGACCAAATTAATTTATTTTTTATTAAATTTATGCTTGTTCTGATATCGATACCTGCAACATAAGCCAAAAAAGTTGCAGCAGTCATTTAAGACTAGGAAAACCAACAAAAACAAGTGATGCAATCATGCTTGAGTATAAAACGAGCATCCAGGAGAGGTCTCATCCTTTATAAGCGAAGCTGGGATGAGGCTTAACACTTTGCCAATAAATGTGTCAGCGAATAACCCAGCAATTTTGTTGCAAAAATTTGAGGTATTTCACCCTCTGCGGTGCATAATATCATAAAAAAATCCAGGAAATCCAGAGAAATCCCTGTGC